TGATATAGCATTTGTTATAGAGCGATTGTTGAAAATAAGTGTATCGTAAAGTTGTATTCGGAAAGAATAAACCAGTTTTATTAAGTAAAGACTTGTGTCGCTAAAGTTTCGTCGGAATGAAGTTACGGAAAGTTAATGAACAAACGGAAACGTAACAATATATTAGAGAAGAGGAGATGCCTAGAGAGCAAATGTCACAATTCTCAGAGTAAAAGAAATTCTAGATTATTTTAAAATATTACCATATAAAAGTAAGAACTTGAAACTTATATACTATTAAAATATGGAAGGTTAACTATATTTTTATGCTATATTTATGGGTATATCATGATAAAAAAGTAGTTTAATTAAATTTTGAATGTAACTTGCTAAAACCTTGTGACTTGCATAGCAAAAGATGTCTGTGGAAATAGGGTTAAAGATTATAAGGATCTTGTACACAAAGAATGACATTATTTTAATTTAAGTCTTTCTACTAAAAATATGTTATTTTTTGATTGTAGTTATTTGCACTCACACTCTGAATAGTTCGAGTGCAAGGTGATTTTCATTTTAAGTATAATATTACTTTTCTTCATCATACAGTTTTCGAATTTTACTTGCATAACTTCTAGAATCTCCTAAATGAATATCTAAAGTTTTTAAGGTAAATGTTTATATTCAATTTTTCATTTTCTCTACCATATCACTAACTGTAGATATTATCGTGAACATACAGTACAATGAAATATTTAAAATAAAAAAAATGGAAAAATGTATATACCTATTAATTTTTTGCAGAATATTTTAAAAGATCTTCTTTTGGTGATATTTGTAATTTCAAGTCTTTTCCTTTTCACATATGCTTAATTTTTAATGTATTATTTTCCTTTCCTATCTATTACTGTTTATTATACATCTCAACACAACTCAACTGTGTCCTAGTGGGATATTAAAGTATCTTCGGCAGAGATGTGCAAGCCTTCGACACAATCATCCTACGCTTGCACAGGATCGTAATCTTGAGAACTGACCTAAGTGTGTCAAAGCAATCATTCGTTAGCTATAATCTTCTGTTGTCCATCATATGAGGAAGAAAATCCTATTCTTTCTGTACGTTCCTTACACACACACACAAACACAAATTATCCTTATGACTAACTTCTAAAGCTGTTCTGACGATACTTGTCATGCTGTTTTTCCAGGGCATTTTAAGTAACATTCTGATACAGTACTTACCTCAGCTTACGAAATTAGCTATTCTCGTTCACTGCTGCCCTCTTTTGCCAACTTTTACTTTAGACATGCCACAAGCCTTCTGCTCCCCCCCTATTGGAATTGAAAGATTCCAATGTGTGTCTCATGCAAATCATCGTACATCATTTCTTCACCAATAGGAGCATGACATGCTGACGTGACGCATCTGACTCCTTCTGTACTTCTCTACCGAACAATCATTTCTTGTTTGGCTGCACTTGTTTTTGGTTGTGCTTCTTGTTTGTTTAAAGATTCACGTTCAGCTTAAGTTTCCTCATGAAGTGGTTTTCTTTAATTTATTTAGTTTTCATTCCGACAGTTTCTTCACTTTAAATTTTTATTAGTTATTTTCAGTGACATTATTCTTTCTTACCACTCGAATTTGGTGGACTCTTCTTCACAAAGAATTCCTAAGTTCATGTTACTACTTTAGAGGTCACACCAACGACTAGCATTCTTTCTCAGGCCTAAGGTACGAGTGGCCCAATGGTAGGTTTATGCGTGTTTATCCGGTAGGAGATCAAATGTTACATGGGCCAGCCTTTGTCCCCAGACTTTGTCCCAGTTCCTCCAAAACAGGTTCCACCTGACAAAGACTTGGATAGTCTGTTTCCACCTCCTGATTTTACTGTACCTTCCCAACCCCTGCCTGAGTAATCAGTTAAGCCTAACTAAGTCTTTTTGGATTTTGTTTTTCAGGTTTATCCCTTTCTCCTATTTCTTATGAGCCACGTCCTTCCTTACTACATGACCAATCTTCCCACTCCTTTTTGGTCCCCCCCCCTGATATTTGGGTTCATCCTGATCAACTTGCCTTACAATTAAGTGATGGGATTAGCATGCCCTGCCCCCTGCAGGCTTCAGATCATTTCTCACTTTCGTACCATCATGCTGATTGTCTCTTTTTGGACCTACAGTTGTTAGGTTCCATACTGCCTGTTTAGGGGAGGGGAGGCAGCTCCTGATTCACCTGTCAGTCTGACCCATGCCCAGTATTCTCACCTGCATCTTACCTTTGCAACTCTTTTAAGGTATCTTTCTTCTCTACACTTTCTCTCTGATGCTCTCCACAGAAATCCTGAGGGGTTTTCTGGGGATACTCTTTCCCTTTTTTCCTCCACACTAGCTTGTTTGTTGTTTTCGGCTCTGGTTTTGCATATGTGGTTTCTCTGCCCCTTTTCCTCATCATTGTTTTCTATGATGCACCTCACGACAGTAGGTTTTCAGGTTTTGTTAGAATGATTTGTGATTAACTTTCTTTCCCCACCTTTTGTATCTCCTTTCCTTATTTTCCTCTGACCTACTCAATATCTCATCCATTTGGGGGTCTTCTTCGATACTCGTATCAGTTGGGCCCAGCCTTATCCTTTAAGACTTTGTTTTATGGAATTGTTACCCTGTGAGATGATCTGCTTT